TACATAAGACAGTTTTGTGTATTGTTAGCTCAAGTTTAGTGGCAATGAACGCGAACGGCAAGTGAATTCACCGGAATTGATACAGTACATCGCACTTGTCGCGTGCTATAAACTACGTACACGAATGTCCATGTCCGTCCGGCAGTAGTCGGAGTGGCATTAGCTAACCAAATACGGAAGCAGACGTTTAGTAACCAGTTCGTATAACCGCTCGAGAGGTCGCGAGCCAAACTTCGTTTGTGGGAAGCCTGAATATCCGTTTAACAACAGCGTAGTGGATGTAAATTTCACTTACTAACTTTGCGTCCCGTTACTTCACTTCAGTAATGCATTGTAGTCTGAAGGATAGACGACGCATAATGTATTGGGTCCCGTTTGGCAACTTTCTAAACCAAGGCGTTTGAAATTTAAAATTCGGTCACGGACTCCCAATGCACGCGATTCTCCGACTTTGCTCACTTGTCTTGCAAATAAGCTATTACGCCAAAGTCTCGGGGCGGTGTCTTCCAAGTCAACTTTCTAGGTCATCCGGAGTAAAATGGGTATAACTTTGGCATCGTTTTTCATGCGATAGCTTTGAGAGACTTTTTAATATATTTTATTAAACTTTTACGTCAACTTTTACATTGGGCTTATAACCACGCATAAGTAGTTCAATTGACTTGTTTTTTTCATTAAAATATTGAGTTAAGCCCTGTACCCATTTACCCCATGGCCAGGGAAAAATAGTTATACCTCTGGGTGAAGTGTGTATATCGCCTTCCACCAGTAATAACTTCATCTCACGGTAAAATAATGGGCCGATGTTAACAACTTTTATGCGAAATCATAATATTGACAAGATTTATGTAATCGGGATACTTTTTGGAAACAGTGCAAAAGCATCTAATCGTGATACTACGGTGTTTGTCAATGGTGTCTGTGATATAAACATTTCATTGACAGCATATTACTAATCAATGGTCTATTGTTCTCGGCTACTGCAAGCAGGTTGTAGTATCTTTTTAAGTATACTTTTAGCTGAAATATCAATGTCATCTTTTTCTGGAAAAGCGTAGTAGGATTCAACCAGTGATTTAGTCACCAATTTCACCGTGTACAAGCCTTCGCCTGATATTTCGATAACAAGTCCCAAGAACTTATGCACAGTCTTTTTTACCTTCATAATTCGTCAACAACTTTGGAAAGTTCTTCAGATCATGCTTTTGTCAAGTTACGGTTTTCGACGTGAAAGCACCCCTCTCCATCTCTTGAAATCCAAGCACCCAATCTTCGCCAGAAGTTTTCTTTGAACGGCTTGGGCCTTCCGGTGGATTCTGTGTAACATTCGATCATCGAAACTAGGTCTGCATGATCGCTGGGAAAACAACTTTCTGCTAAATAGCGCAAGCTGCTGGCAACTATCCTATTCTCATCAACAGAAAGTAGAGTAAGCGGACCGGAACCAATTCGTTTGGGAGGTTGAGCGATCCATCTTCGTAACGTCTCGTATGGAATTTTCATCTCCTTGGAAACTTTGTATAGTGTAACTCCATCTTATACCTGGTCTATAACAATTTCTAAGTCTTCCGGTGAATATATTGTTGTTTTGTTATTGTAATTTCGCGGCATTTTTCCCAAGTCAATCTGAAATAGGGCTTGCTTTGTTTCCCTAAAACAAGAAAGCTTTATGGGTGCAATTCGCATGTACTATAGCTTATGACTATTAACTCATATTATACATTAATAGTTAACGCAGTATGAGAGTTACAACTAACATCAGAAAATTATCTCCAAGAAAAATGTGCTAAGTTCACCTGTGAAATACAGATCTACCCACTTTTCCCTGTCTAAGTTAATCAGTAGCCATCTGTAAAAATATATTAACGTTCACTTTGATTTATTTGTAGACTCAGAGAAAAACTTTTACCGATCAATACTATGTGGCGCATACCATTTCACGTTTAATATTTAGTTATTTTCCACAGACGTTTTTCCGACTAGTATAGACACATTGCAGCCATAAACAAGATGGCGGAGATTCCTGTATTCTAGTATCAAATCAAAATATTGTCAGCTTATATAAAGCAGCTACAAAAATCATTCAACTTTAATATATATCTACAAATATTCATACAGCTTCAACCAATTAATTTTTGCAGGTTTGAATCTCTCAGTATACCCATTTTACCCCGAGTGACTCTACTTCGGTTTGGGCAGCCGCGTGCTACCATGCCTTCTGAGGAAACCATGGCTTGAATATTGATTGTTGCATGCTCGAAAACTGCATTCCACGACCGCTTTCGATCTTATTTGATCTTACCAGGTAGGTATAGGTGGCGTCGAACGTGGAGCCATTAAAACGTTAGCCAGTGGCCAATGGGGTAGAGGTCCCAACTAACGTTTCTATGGTCCCGGGTTCGATGCCTGTTATCTCTATTTAATGGGATCAAATAAGTTCCGAACCAGTCTTAGATTGTAGTGTTTTCGGGTGGGCAACACCCACTATGCATCGGTTGCGGTCCCAGTGATCGGATTGACCAAAGTTCACTTCAATGCGTCGCGATCCACATTGAGATCTTTCGTCACGATGATCGTTTCAAAGTGATCCACCAGTAAACCATGGGCTTTTTGTGTTGTGTCCGATATTCTTTTTTTAAACGCTTTACCTTCCTTTTATTTCTATCTGTTTTGATGGCTCTATGTCTCTTCATAGACGGCTGGAAAAATGTGCAAGCTTGATATCATCGATATACGTTTTCGGCCGTATAAGACAGTACTCCTGTGACTGTCGCGGGTGTGCATATCACAGAACAAAGACCGTTTGATTTGGGCGGGCCGGTTTGCGACGCTTGTATTTTGTCACTTTTAGGAACGATTTGTGGTACAGTTACTCTGCGCCAATTGTTGTTGGTGTACAGCCCGGAAACTCTGCCCCCATGGCTCAACTTTGATGGTAGAGGGCCGCCAATCTTTTCTTGGTTACTGACCTGGCTAGTATGAGGGGCACCGAAGGCTTAAGAAGCTGTCCCAACCGACTATATCTGCTCTATTATTGGTCCGGTCGTCAACCTGGATCTACGTTCGGAATGCGGCAGTCATAGAGGTATCAGTTTGATCTCCATCGCCTCCAAGTCATTTGCCTCTGCCGTTCTTCACAAATTGACTGGCGCCTGCGAGGGCCAGATTCGTGAAGTGGAAGCCGGGTTACGTCTAAGTCGAGACTGTATTGGCAACATCTTCACTTTACCTCGCTTATTGTAGCACTGCCACTTATCTTAGCGACTCACCTTAATCGCGTTCCTCGGTACCAAAGGTGCCTTCGATTCGGTGAATCGATGTGCCCTTTGGGACTGTTTGGTCTGGGATTGTGTACCCGCAAAATACGTAAACATTATCAGGACACTTCACCCGCATAGTTCGGGCAGAGTGAGGTCTTATGACAAGTTGTTGTTGCTCTTCACTAACTCCATCAGTTTGAAAGGTGGATGCCAGCCGTCACCATTCCTCCTTAACCCCCCATTGGCGAAGTTATGAAACTGCGTTTAGCAGATACGACTTACAAGATGTGAGGCTGTTTCCATGTAAACGACTTCTTAACTTGGAGTATACTGACAGTATTGCTCTCGTCTGTGATTGTCCACAAACGTGCCAAGTAGCACTAGATAGATTAGCACTGGCTCTCAGCCGTCTCGGGTTATGCTTTGCACCCTCAAAATACAAAGCTTCCTCCCTTGCTTGGCAGGTACTGCCTCATGCGCTGACCCTTGGTGGGGATCATCTAGAAATCGTCCAGAATTTCAACTACTTCAGCGGCTAAATCAGCACATGTAGGATCGATAATGTCACAAACCGTATAGCAAAAGTTCGAGACGCTCTTTCTCATCTTCGTCACTTATGGCATCAGCGCGACTCCACTTTCATCCTGACAGATGGAGTCTGCAATGCTTCCGTCCGTTTAATACTTGTACGGTTGTTCAGCCTGGCCCATTCAATGGACAGTTGTAAAGTGGCTGGTTATGTTCGTTAGCCGGTACCTTGTCAGTTTGGCTGACATCTGGTTTGGGCACCGCGCTTGTTTACGGTGCAGGGTGAGCAAGTGAACCATTCAGCGCAATTATTTCACGCCCCAGGTTCCGATGGATTGGGCATGTGTTTCCACATGCTAGCGTTGTTTTCGCGGCCGGGGTATGGATGAAAAAATGAAGAAAAGGTTAATTGATGATGTGATCTTGAGGAATGAAGTACTTGGTTTCGAATTTGGCCTCAGTTGGAACCTCTCGACTTCCCAGTTGGGGTCCTAAGGACGGAGAACACGTTGGGTTGGATACGCTTGCTATAGCGAGCAATCGATCAGAATGACGTCTGTGTTGCAAATTTTCTTTTCCAACCCAATCTCCTTTGGCCTTCTTCTTTGGCCACTATGTCGTTATTCCATTAAACTTAAAGCATCACAGCAATATTTGTCTTGTTTTTGATTTTTCTTTCGTACTTTCACTGTTATCTAATTTATTTATAATGCGGTACAGTAGGTGGGGTTTTCCTCATTCCTAGTTATTGTGTAGAATAGTGATGACTTGCAAAGCGGCTAAGCGAAGCCAGGACGTCACGCCCATTGGGACCCGGTGACCGATGATTTAGTTCACGCGCTTTTGGTGGTCTGGTAAGCTGCCAAACAAGGGACGAAAACATCCTGCCTTCACCTTGGGGTGAAGGATCCGTGGCTTTAGTTAGTGGCGAGTCACCATATTCGCCACGTTACAGTATTGTTGGACGGATATTTGTGTATGTTCATGGGTAGGACGCTTTCTCTGCGGAAATCCACACTACGTCATGAAACACCGTCGCTGAACCACTTGCTGGAACAGACTAGACCCGGACCACCCCGTTGGCATCACGGGGAGGTAACACGGCATGCCAATTATTTGTATCTTAACGTTGATGGACTTATCAATTTTTATCGTGCATCACACAAGTGGTGTTCAGTTTCTGACATTGTCGTTACTTTCTTCTCTTCATGATTCTCTGCCTTTTTTAGCCTAATCGACCAACATTCGCTTTCTCTGTCTGTTCCAACCATGGACATCCTCAAAATAGTACCTGACGAATTTGTATGTCATCCTATTCGATTTCGCTTAAGTTTCCTTTCAGACCCAACCAGAGGAACACAAACCTATTGCGCATGTGATATTACCTACAGAGGGTATCTTTCTTGTCTCATTTGCTTACTGTTTGAAATTTAGGCTTCTGTGTCAAATTAAAAACCACAAAACAAGAGAAGGTTTTCGTGAATGTATGCCACTCAGAGAAAGTTCCCGCTCCTCGTGAGATCAGCGAAGCTGAATTGCAATCCATTCTGGAGGATATTGAAGGATCACCTCCCTTTAAGATACCCATGAGCATTGGAGAGGCACATGTAGAAACTGACGCCGGTTCGTATAATTTTAAGTACCATTTTACTTTGTCGTGTCTGCGGATTAAAATCCGCAACCCTTTGTTATCTTACTGCTTGCTTGATTTACCCGGTGCAGTCAGACAGTGTTCCTAGACCTCTGGTCTCTGTCTCACTTCCTATAAGCTGAATGAATATTTATAATCATAGAAAAGATAGCGAAGGTAACTCGATTTAACGAACTTAACTGCTCTGAGTTGAGTTGCAAAACTAACATGACGAGCGCACAAAGGGAAGTGCACGTTTGTATGGTCAAGTGGGCTTGAGACAGGATCCCAAACAGTTGCAAACCACGTGGCGGGGTGTCGTGTGCCTTCGAACAGCTGAAAATGATTAATAATACAAGCTCCAGATGTGGTCTGTGAACAATATCGATCGAAAAGGGCGGCACACTTATAAACCGGCACAGTTACGGCGTATATATATATATATATATATATATATATATATATATATATATATATATATATATATATATCGTGCGCTGAGGCTGGTGGTGGCTAGATCCTGACACATGGTCTAACCGCTGCTGCTACTGTTGCGCCATCGTCTCATGTCCTGGGCGCCTCCACGTGGCGACCGCTGGGTGGGATTTGGGTTTCACCCTTCTCCCGGCTAAGATCCAGGACACCAATCCGCATGAGCCAGCAAACTGACTATGTGCTAGACCCGCTGCCTTTCGGGTGTTCATTTAATCGAAGGCTTTGGCTGAGGACCCGAGTCGTTCTCTTGTCAGGTGTGAGTGCCCTGGCAGTATCCTAGTCCATCCTCTTCGGAGGTTAGGAATTGGTCGATGGCCCTCTTCCCGTAAAACCTAGCCATGGGAGACAACAGGTTTACGGGCTATAAGCGCACAGCTGGATTGGCGTAGAGCACGAGTGCCACGCATTGTCTCTGACGGTGGGATGGCACCTCCGGGTGTTCAATGGTTTGCTACTGTCCGCCTCAAGCCAGGCAGCCCCTGGTCAAATTGGTGCAAACCCGCCAAAAACCCACCTGCGTCTGGCCGTGGTCGCAGGTGCGTATCCAATTACGGTCGCAAAACATATGATAATTGTTCCAGAACCTCAAAGGCTGCGTGTGACGGCCATCAAGCATATCCCAATCTGTCTCTGCAATCACATTCCCGAGCTGGATCTGCTCCCCACTGCCTTGTGGGTCAGGCTATTGAGCCAAAGGCTCCGGGTGGAGTCCCTCAAGCAAACCTCCGAATCACCCACTGCCTTGTGGGTCAGGCTATTGAGCCAAAGGCTCCGGGTGGAGTCCCTCAAGCAAACCTCCAAACCACCCACTGCCTTGTGGGTCAGGCCATTAAGGGAAAGGCTCCAGGTGGAGTCCCTCAAGCAAACCTCCGAAGCACAACGACCACCTCGCGTGCGATTGCCCACCAATGCAATCGTATGCCTGCGCGCAAAGCACTCAGCGTCGGGTGTTTGAACGTGCGCACGCTATTGGACCGGAACTCCAGCGAGCGCCTGGAGCGACGCACTGCACTGGTCGCGATGGAGCTGGCGCGCTACCACATCGATATTGCGGCGCTCAGTGAAACTCGGCTCGTTGAGCAAGGTAAGTTGCATGAAGCAGGTACTGGCTACACATTCTACTGGGTGGGCAACGTCGCCTCAGCACCACGTGAACATGGGGTCGGATTTGCAATATCCGATCGCCTCCATGGCCAGCTGGTGGGTGAACCAACGGGCATCAGCGCGCGACTGATGACTGTTCGCCTACGACTCGGAAGAGGTAAGTTTGCTACTTTTATAAGCGCGTACGGTCCGACCATGTGTTATCCTGATGACACGCGTGCTCAGTTCTACACTGAGCTACCCTCCGTGATACGGTCTGTGCCGAGGAGCGACCGACTATTTCTGCCGGGTGATTTCAACGCGCGCGTTCGGCGTGATGCATCAGCGTGGACAGATGTTATCGGTGCGCATGGCATTGGTTCAGCGAATGCGAACGGTGACAGGCTGCTCTCACGGTGTGCCACTCACGGCCTGACGATCACGAACACTCGGTTTGCACAGAGTGCGAGTGATATAGCAACTTGGACTCACCCACGGAGTGGTCACGCTCACCTGCTCGACTAAGTCATCGTACGTCAGCGTGATATGCGTGAAGTGCGCATGACACGTGTACTGCGTGGAGCTGAGTGTGGCACTGATCACAAGTTGGTGCGTACCAAACTGTACATATATTTTCGTAAATCGATGTATTGCACTCCCGCCGTGAATCGGCGTAAATTTAACATTCTCTCCCTCGGTACTGTGGCGAAACGTACTGAGCTGGAGAAGGAGATGGCTGCACGCCTGTGTGATGTGGACTGCATAGCCACAGTGGGCGACCTGTGGCACCACATTCGCGATCAGGTAACAGCTGCTGCCGAGGAGACCATCGGGCGCGCAAACTGTAAACGGCCTGATTGGTTTGATGACAACAATGCGACGATCGGCGCATTGGTGTCGGAGAAGAATGCAGCATTTGCTGCACATGTTGCAGACCCCAGTGACTTGGGGAAGAGTAGTCAGTTTCGCAAACTTCGACGGCGACTGACCCGAGAGCTCCGTCGCATTAAAAATGCATGGTGGACGGAGAAGGCGAAGCAGATGGAATGCTACGCCGAACGCCGTCAACACAAGGAATTCTTTGACTCCTTGAAGGCGGTGTATGGACCGAGATTGGAGCCGCTGAGGACACTGATCGATGGTAGTTCAGGCGCTACCTGCACCCAGACTGCAGACATAATGCAGGTCTGGCGGAAACACTTTGACTGTCTCTTGAACAACCGTTCAGAGATCGACTGGCCTACATTGAACGGCCTGAAGCATCACGATGTGAAGGCGGATCTGGCGGATACGCCGAGACTGGATGAGACGCAGAGAGCACTTGCTCAGCTGCGAAACGGCAAGTGTGCCGGAGCCGACGGGATCCCACCTGAAGTATTGAAACACGGTGGACCCGCGTTGTTGACTGCGCTGCAGCACTTGGTGCAACGCGTGTGGATTGAGGAGGAGGTGCCTCCTGAGCTGAAGGATGTCCTTGTGCTACCACTGTACAAGGGCAAAGGTAGCAAGCAATGTTGCACGAATTATCGTGGCATCAACTTGCTGAGTTGTGTGGGCAAGGTGATTGCCCGAATCCTGCTCAACCGCCTTGTCAGTCAGGTTGTGGAACCGAACGTGGCGGAAGAGCGATGTGGATTCCCTTCGGGTTGCGGAACCTCGATATGGTGTTTGCAGCTCGTCAGTTGCAGGAGAAGTGCAGAGAACGGCACCAGCCGTGGTAATCGCTGTTTGTTGATTTCACTAAGGCATTTGTTACGTTGGACCGCGATGCGTTGTGGCTGGTGTTGGGTAAGTTTGGTTGCCCGCGTAAGTTTGTAAGTTTAATTGAATGTCTGGATAATGGTATGCGAGCGAGGGTGCAGCTGAGTGGAGAGACCTCGGATGACTTGCAGTTGTCTCTGGTGTGAAGCAAGGCTGTGTCTTAGCTCCTGCCCTGTTTAATATATATCTTCATGCAATGTTGTCTTGTGCTTTTGATGCGGCTTGTGCTTACGATGTTCGTGTGGAGCACCGTATTGATGGTGGGTTGCTGAACATCCGTCGTTTCGGTGCGAGAACTCTAGTCTGTGAGACAACTATCCGTATGTTGCTGTTTGCTGACGACTGTGCGTTGTTTGCACACAGCGCGGATGAGTTGCAGCACATGACTAGTGCTCTGGCTTCGACAGCGGCCAAATTCGGGCTCACCATCAACACAAGCAAAACTGTCTGTCTCTTTCAGCCTTCACCGGAGGTGCAATCTTCAATATTGCCGCGAATCAGCATTGGTGCTGAAGTATTGGAAACCACCTCCCGTTTCAGCTACCTTGGGAGTGTGATGTCGACTGATCAGCAGCTACACGTTGAGCTGCGTATTCGCGTGTCGAAGGCAGCGGCGGCATTCGGGAAGCTTGAGGACCGAGTGTGGAACAACCATCAGCTTAGCATTGGCACGAAGCTGATGGTGTACAAATCCATGATACTGTCCGTTCTTCTATACGGCAGTGAAACGTGGACGATGTACCGTCGGGATGTGCGATATCTCGAGCGGTTCCATCAGCAATGTCTGCGACGAAATTTGCGGATCGGCTGGGGTGACAGAGTTGCAGACACGGAAGTTTTGCGCCGAAGTGGGATGTATGCAGTGGACTGCATACTTTTACTGAGACACCTGAGATGGCTCGGTCATGTGAGCCGTATGGATTCGACGCGGATACCGAAGCAGCTATTATATGGTCAGCTGAGTATTGGGAAGCGGCACGTGGGGAAACCGAAGTTACGTTACCAGGACATGATCAAAGTGAGCCTCACACGTTCTAACCTTGATTGCAGATCATGGGAATCGAAGGCGGTTGATCGTGGTGCATGGCGCGATCTAATCACGAAGGCAGTTGCTGAAGTGCGGGAGAAACCCCTCATGCATGCAGAGAAGAAGCGGCAAGCACTGATGAATTTTACTCCATCGACATCAAGCGCATGGTGCTGTAGAACATGCGGTCGCGAGTGCCTTAGTCAGGCAGGCTTAGTGAGCCATGAGCGAGGCCACTCGGGACTACTACCGAAGCGACGATGGGTCCTGCAGAGAACGTAGGCGGAACCGGCGCAGCGTTTGTAGGTACGCTGCATCCGATTTACTAACCGCGTGCTTGCATGCTAAGTCTCTTTATTTCAGGTGGTGGGTTTTCAATTTTGTCCTAATGCCTTTCTTTCTCCTATAAATGTCTAGTGTCTAGTGAGCCATGAGCGAGGCCACTCGGGACCACTACAGAAGCGACGACGGGTCCTGCAGAGAAGTATTCAAAACCGGCGCAGCGTCTGTAGGTACGCTGCATTCTTTTTACTAACCGCGTGCTTGCATGCTAAGTCTGTTTATTTCAGGTGGTGGGTTTTCAATTTTGCCTTAATGCTTTTCTTTCTCATATAAATGTCTACCTGTACTCTATTCCATTAACTTGCACACCTCGCTTAAGCCAATTGTATTCGATTTCCATAACATTTTTGTGTTCGTGGCATTTCCGTATAGTATACTTTCTCACCTCGTGAACTTATCTAAGATTCGTTTGTAAACAACTTATTTCATATGCTCATTAACTTAAGGTTTATGTCACCGTTTCCTTATGCATCAATCGAGTTATTTTCTTTCTCTCTCTCTCTCTCTCCCTCTCAAGTGTTTGGCTGTTGTTTGATATCCCCGGTGTGGCTGCGCTTGATGTGCATGTTGACAAGGTGCCTACCTGTCTATTACCCACTACCTCGTCCATACTGGCTCCAGGAGACAGTTGGTCGTTGCTGGAGGGGACGGGGTGCACGGTCCTTATGGCCGTGTTAGGATCAAAGAGTGGTTCCATGCACTCAGTGTGGAGCGGACTACGGTTCAGCCACCGCATTGTGTGCGCTTGATTCCCAAATACAGTGTGTTTGCCTGTGAAGGAGTGTGGGCCGGCTCCGTTGATGAAACGTGGTTCCCATCCGCATGCCTCCCGGTCTTATTCCTTCGGGTTTACACTGGATATGGGGTGTGTGGTTGGAGCTGTGGGTGGTGCAGCGCAAGCCATCCATGGTCCCTCTGTAGGCGCAGGCGTCCTGTGGCTAGCCACAGTGCCAGGTAAATCCGAAACCGGATACCGTCAACGATATATACATATATATATATATATATATATATATATATATATATATATATATATATATATATATATATATATATATATATAATCGGTGGTCAGTTGCGTCAATTATATGCTGGAAACCGCTTTCATGCCATCAAGATAGCTTTGGAGCACAATCGTTCACATCGCATTACCGGAGGCCCACTGAAACGCACAATGGGTTGGATCCAACTTTATCATATTGATGTAAGCAACGGATGGAGCACACCAGTTCAAGCTTGCTTTCGGCCTGCACTGCTCATCTGAATGCTTATCATTTTCTAACTTGCGCGCGCATGGCAATCGCTATATACACTTTAGCCGAGTCTCCATCTGCGGGACTTCTCGATCGTAACATGAGCTCGATGTACGCAGCTTAACAATGTCAAGACGTATGACGCCACTGGTTGTCTCTAATGATCGAGCTGGATAAGGCGAATAGCGATCTTTATCGTTTAAGGTGTACTAAGAAGAAGGCGTCTGGAGTGTCCTCTCAGCTCAACTTGAGACGCCCAAGCTATTGGTAGATTTTGGAAGCGTCGATTCGTTTAGCGGAAACACGTGTGTTCATTCACTCCAGCGTTTAGTTCTGGCATATTTGTTCGCATTTGCTACCCTGAATACCCACTTGGTATGTTCAGTCACTCTCTGAAACCGGCAGCTCATGACGGTCATCCCTTTATATCTTCGAACACCAATTGTGGGGCCTGCTCTGCACGTATTACAAATGCTCTCGCATTGCTATTAGTGGATTTCCACCTTCTCCCTAACTGACCAGGCCGGAATACTTATTTGGCTGACCTGCTCGACTTTTGTGTCCGTTCCATGGTGATGTCTGTGGTACAAATTCTGTTCAACCTTTTAATTTTACTTGTTATTAGTAACCGAAACTTTACGAAAGCTTCTCTTACACCAGCTCATAAATTTTCCGACGTGGGCATAGCTAGAATACTAATTATACTTTATTTTAGTTTTGGAACGGTTTTTAGCCCAGTCCTTCAACGACGCTATATCTCAAGGACGCTGATCTGCTTTTGAGCCACCACCTTCCGAGGAATGCAAACCCCATTGAACCAACCATTGGCAGTTGAATATTCTAATACAAATAAGGCTTCTGATGTACTGATTTTTCTACTGGCGCATTCAAAGATAAAACTGGCGCCAACTTGTGATTGCCATTATTATGGGATTTGCACCATTCATCGTCCATCTTGATTTGACGTTGTCTAAACAGTCGTACTATCCAAATGTTCACTTACTCGCCAAACCTGGCGACTGGGTTCCAAACGGGTACCACCATACGTACCAATAGGGCAGCGTTTAGCCAACATGTTCTCACCAAATTTGTCCTCAGGTTGGTGAATGCGACAAGGCAGCGTCATTCAACCACATGTAGCTGCTTCACTGCTACGTCGGGTCAAGTCACCCGGTCATAGAATCAGTGGCTCCCTTGCACTTGTTCCTTTACTTCGAACTCTTGACTACATCTGACGGTTTAAGTTCTTTTGACATATAATAGTATATCCGTACCTGGGGGTGTGAATGCGGATTTTGAGTTGTTCTCCGAACTGAGTGGTTATTTTGCAGACGACTTATTACCAACGATGTGTATAATGGTTACTAGATTTACTGCGCTTTGATGCACAGACCATAGTTACCGGAATGGACTAAGCTCTTTGTATCGGTTCCTTAGGGAGGATAGTCTGCCGGTAGCCGGATGGTTCCTGCATCTGGTTTTGAATTTACAAATTACTTTGCTTTGAGTCCACGTGCGTACAGGCCAACCCGCAGTACCCATGCCGTGTACACACCTGATGCTTGCCACATGGTAGAAAAGCGTCGAAGTCAATCTCACGTAACCGACAAAGAAATATTCGCCCCCTGTCACTGGATTACTATCTCCTACGTGGATGCAACTGTTTCAGGTGTCAAGTAAGGCATCAGGCTAACTCACCAATATGACGCTCTTCAATTCGCTTACATCTTGTGGCTCACACTAGCTTTAGACCTGTCAACTGAGACCTCCTGCATAAAATCGACTGCGGCTGCTACACAGAAAACTACTTCTATTTCTTCACATGCCATCCATCTTTGTCCCTTACTTGAGGAATTCGGATGAACTGAGTGGGCTGGTCGTTGCAGTTCAACTTGTGCTTACCTATCTTTGGCACCTGAAACCATTTGAAATGTGTGTCTACCTCTTATTTGCCCTTTATCAACCCGCCTCCAAATTCTTAGATTATTCGCTTCTCATCTTATCTTTTTCAAGCTGGGAAAGCATGCACCGCTTACGATGTGATCATCCATCCAAACTTCTTGAAACAAGTTCGATCTTCGGAGTTATTCGAGGCGTTTTTGATGACAGTCATTTTTGAAGGCCTGGAAAGCAAGTACGGCGTGACATTGGAACGAAGTACCCTCGTATTATTGGTCGCCATGAAGGTTTTCACACAGATTGGATCATTTTGAAGAATAAAAAGGCGCTAGGGAGACTACAAGAGCAACATGTCCGTGCGGAAAGCCGACCAGCCATTGTCGAGTTGGACACTCCTGTGTTAGTTTGTTTTGAATGATCATCCTTTCATTTTTAATGCACACCTTTGTTGTAGACCCGGTTTTAAACCAACTCTAATCCAGGAGATGCCCGTACAGCGAGATATCAATTTGAGGCAGGTTACGCTTTTCTCTGTTCCTCATCCGATAACTGAACAGTGTTCAGGGTGAGGTGCCCCAGTACACCCTAACTGCTGTACCTGATGCAAAAAATCCGGAATACTTGGTTTTTCAGACTAAATTACCAAAGTTGGTGAGTAGCGCACCTGCAACTTTGCTTCTGCTCTCACGTTTTACTGTGATATTTGCTTTGTACTATTTCCAAAATATGTTGAGCGGCGAGACACTATCGGCCACCTTTGCAGTTTGTTCCGTTAATTTAACCGAAGCACGTTGGACCACGTACGATTTATCTCGCACTGTTTAGTCGCCAGTTATTTTGAACACTGCACCGATCGAAACGGTCATATCGCATTTTAGTCTGCTCAACTTCGGTCCACTGAAGAAATCAATTTGGGCTTCCTGCTGCCCCCAATGCTCTTCGATCACGAAACCCCGTTAAACTTACGAGTCCGTACTGAACTTCTTCGAACCTCCTTGTTTGCAGTATTGTGAAGAGGCCATTTCGCTTAACAATGATTCGTCTTTTATTTTGTTGATGTTTGTCTTTTAATTTGTAATGGCGCTTTGATCGTGCTGCAGAAATTTACATGTCCGAATATTTCTTTTTCTATCCTAATATTACGCCGGTTGCACTTTCTGATTGCCGTATTTTTTCTTGTGCGAAACCGCTTTATTTTCTTCTCCTCTATACATGCAGTCATGCGTTTGGGTGCATCCTTATTGCACATTAACCCAATTTTCACAAGTTTTCCTTGCTCGTCAAATCAACTTTGACGAGTCATCGGTACACTCGGTGCTACTTTGTCAAAACCAGACGCTGAGCATCTTGCGCTATCACTGTAAGTCTGGCATATTTCCGTTGTGCACCGTAGCACACTTCGCGTTGATATAGGTAGAAATTCGTCACATTTAGACTCACTCAGACAGCCGCCACACGCCCGGAAAAGCACTGTACGCGCGTTTCATCCTTTCGGGAATCATCAACAGTGCGCATTCCATCGGACCCTTGGTAGGGCTCGAACCCGCAACTCGACTGTTGCCAGTCCGTGGTTGAGACCACTGAGCTACGGGGGACGGCAACGACCATCGTGAATAAGTTACCAGATGTGATATAGCGCCGCTCACTATCCACTGACTTACACGTTACTGCCGTGCAGAGGACAGGGTAGCCCCCTCACCAAGCGACGAGCTTACCAAACTTAAGCCGCAAATTAACTGATGGCATTATAAGCAGTTTGGTCTGCGTACTGATTACAGAAGAGTAGTAGGGGAGTTGAATGGTATAGGTAGAAATTCGTCACATCTAGACTCACTCAGACAGCCGCCACACGCCCGGAAAAGCACTGTACACGCGTTTCATCCTTCGCGTTGAGTTATACGAAATTTTGTTCACCTATGTTCGGTTCAGTCGCACAACTATACTCCGGGTGCCTAAGTGCGGTGGATCCAGTTGCCACAACTCTCGTCACCAGCGTAGCAATACGGAGAAACAGCAAGAAAGTGAACTTGCATGCTAATTGGATGCAAATAAAAGTAAATGAGTGCGTCAAACTAATCGGGATAACATGACAATTAACATCTAGATGTGCGAAACCGAATGCAGAAACGCCACTGACTGCGTGACTGCAACATGTCTAGCAGGGTCTCCACCAACTGGTGTAGACCATCCCCGGGGGGCACTAATCCACGCACCAGCCTGGCGAACTTTTGTACCAATATACTAATCTTTGCAAGCACTAGCTGTGCACATGGTGGTGACCTAGTGCCAATCGTTGCTCCGAAAACTGCACAATACTTCAACGAGCTTTGGATGTCGTTGATAAGGTACATGTTGAAACTGAGTGCCTGCTGTTTACCCTAATACAGTCAACCTTGTCTAAGGCGACCACTAAGGGCCCGACAAAAAGTGGTCGCCTTGGACAGGTGGTCACCGTAGAAAGGTTCATGCATCAGGACATTACTCATAGGAGAAAACTTAGGGGATGTTTTCGACTGGTCGCCATGGCAGGTTGGACTGTACAACGCGTGTTATCACAGCCCTATAAAACGATCTGGATAGAGCTTACACACGGTCAATTGACAACATGATCCATTTCAACACGGCTAAATGTAAAGCTCTAAAATCATGCTATCAAAGCACTTGCGACTATCGGCTATGATTCATAACTTCTACATCGCGCTTCTCGTGAGGACTGTCGCGTCGTGCTCATGCAAGCTAACCTTAGCTTTTTGAGACAGACCGAAAGAACATCAAGGAAGGTGAACAAACGTTTTGATTTCCTGCGTAGCGCGCTCGGAATTTTCGCCGCCTCGATCTTTCCGCGAATATTGGCGCGTACTTGAGGCCGCACGTCGAACACGCTATCCATGCGTGGCAGTCCTGGCAGTGGCACAGCTCTAGACTGCACAACGCAAGGGGAAAAAGGACGTTAAACGTTTACCCTGCCTCCCCTACCGAATTAGACTAAAAACACTGAGAGTATACAGCGGGTATCATCGGCATCTACGGAGTAATCTCAAAATGGTGTGTCAGGTCCTAAAAGACCCCAACCATGCTTACTAACATCTTTTGAAACTCAAACAAAATACGTCTCTGATTGGCTATCAGTTTAACCTGACCACGAAGTTTTCCCCCTTCTAGTGCCGCAGCCCTAGGACTTCATCCCACCGCACGTACTTAATTGCTCCACCATATCACTTTTCAAAAGACGACTTGACGGCATCATCATCATTATACACGTGATCTAGAAGTGGAAAACGTACCGTAATACATAAGAAGAAAAATATGCAACAGTGGCACGCCGGCTGAGTCGCCAGCAACGGATGGGCATCGTTTCGGAAAGCGACCAACCGGCTAGTGTGCCGCAACAAAGATGTTACCTTAAATGAGACCGTGGTTGGACAGGGAGGCTATACGGGATGGGGAAGGACAAAGGAACTCACAAAACAAATACCACTGGGGTTGGCTCCTAGCCATGTCAACAAGTGTATCCGACCAAACGTGTTCCTCGACTTTCGGACCCCAACCAGGGACCTGAGAGGCTCTAGCCGAGGTCAACTTCGAACAAAGGGCCTTCATTCCTCTTGACCAAGTCATCGCTTGTCCTCCCGTCCTCTTCTTCCATCCACACCCCCAGTGCGCAAACATCGCACGTCGCGGGAGTCGGTGGGCTGGCATACGCAACGCGTGGTTCAGTCATCTGTGCCTGATACGTGATAAAACGGTGTCGAGCGGTTCACTTCCTTTTCTTGCGCCATAAACAAGGCGTCGAATATACTCATTGCTCACACGATGCACCCACCAGATATGGGCCAAACTGCGAAATCTTCGGGGGTCAAAAATGGCTAGCTTCTTTATGTCTGCCGATCTAATGGGCCAGGTTTCACAACCGTACAGTAGGGTTGAACGTACGATCTCATTGTACACTCTACCCTTCAGCGAGAGAGTGCTGTCGAGCCGGCGGCACAGGTTGCGATGGTTAGAAAAACGACCTGGTGCTTTTGCTATATGGATTGTGATCTAGTCTTCAATTCCAGCGACGCTGATACAACTGCCGAGATAGCTGAATTTCTGAAGGACTTCTAGCTGATCCCCACCAAGGGTCAGTGCAGGAGGCAGTGCCTGCCAATCTCGGAGGAACGTTTTCACTTCGAGGGTGCAAAGCAAAGCCCGAAACGGCTGACAACTGGTGCTACTCTCTCTAATGCTGCTTGGCACGTTTGTGAGCTGTCACAGATTAGGGCAGTATCGTCAGCATACTCCAAGTCAAGAAGTCGTTCGGCCGAAAGCAGCTCCACACCTAAGTCGTGTCCTGTGAACGCGATCTCCATGACTTCATCAGTAGCGAATTTGAAGAGGAATGGTGACGGTGGCCATCCTTGTCTTACACCGGTGGGTATATTGAATGGCGCGACAGCTTAGCGTAACTCCTCACTCTCCCCTAGTTACGCGCGTATAGCGCTCGTATAATCTTTACATATAGCCCGGCACACTTTTCTTGGGTAGGCAGTCCCAGAGTACGCATCGACCCATCAGCACGAAGGCTCATTTGATGTCCAGGAACACGACAACGGTGGGCCGCCACTCAATGTGACGGTACTCCAACAACTGACGCAAGGTGAAGATATGCTCGATGCAGCCCCGGCGTCGACGGAATCTGGCTTGCTCCTCACCAATCAAGCTTTCACGAGCGCCAGTCAATCTGTGAAGAATAACAGGGAAGGAATTTGGTGGCGATGGAGATCAGACTGATTCCTCTATGGTTGCCACATTCCGATCGTGAGCCTCCTTTGAAAATTGGGACTACAATGGGGCGGCTCCAGTTGGTTGGGACAATTTCCTGCTTCCACAGTTTACTACTAATTCGTGTAGATCAGCAGCAAGAGCAGGAATCCCGAATTTGAAGAGGACTGGATATAGATCACCTAGTTCCGCGCCCTTATTCAACTTCAGCAGTCCGAGCTCACGTTCGGCTTCTAACCGAGAGAGTGGATCCAAATAGATAGCCCAGAGAGCATGACGATCACTGACCGACGAGAAATCTGATGATCCTGGCCGATTAAGTTGCTTTTCAAGGCTTAGCCCAACGCTCCAAGCGTTTCGACAAGTTGTGGATAGGCTGTCCACTCTTGTCACAGTTAGTTTCAATAACATCAGGTCTCTTGCTGCCCATTTCTCGTAGCAGACGGAATAATTTCCGATGGTTACCAAGGGCAGCGGCCACTTCCATCTCTGACGAACGATGAGACCACTAGGATTCGCGGTCTCTTCTCAGACTAGCAGGCAGTTTTGCCCTGAGGTCTTTACGACTCCCATAGTGTTCGCTTCCAGCCGGAATGTGTCGACGAGCATCGATAAGTTCCAAAGACTGCGAAGAGACCAAATGCCCATGTTGGCTGTTAGATTTAACACATGAGGAATTGCTTGCTGTTACTATAGTCTGGTGAACATGCGACCGGTGACCTTCAGCTGTATACAGTGAGCGCCTACTCAACCCGAACGCCAACATACTTCGATACGCAACCAGAACATCTGGCTTCGCCAGTTGGCTGGTGTCTATGCGCTCGCAGGATCGTCGAGGGCGTTCGCCAAAACGCACCCGCAGTTCAGTAAATACAAGTGCATGGTCA